CATTTTCCCTGCATTTGGTAGTTTGGAATCTGCATTTTTTAATTGAAATTGAGGAAAAGTTTTTTTAAAATTTGAATGGATATATATGATCTTCATTACCAATCCCAATGCGCAGATTTTTTTTTCTTTCTAAGTTGGTACTTATACACACATGTCTCTACTGAGACTCGAACCTCTGACCTCTCTTTAAAAAGTAAGAATCTAATACGACCTGTTGATTGAAAGAAATATTATGTTGCTACCAAGAGCAAAAAGGGCACTTCCCTCTTGCTACCATGTTAATAAATGTAGCGTTACTTAAATTTTTATAATAGTTCAATCTAGAAAGAGACAACATGTAACATGTATAGCTGATAATTTTGACTTAAGAGGAGAGAAGATGAATGCACCATTGGAGGTTTTTCCTTACCCTTAGGTACAATTTGATATTTCTTTTACACTACTTTTTTATTTTATTTTTTGGGTACTGGCAAATAACTTCCACAATGTTGTGAGAATATGGTAGCATTAGGGTTGTTGTGACAATTTGGAATTTTCTTTCAAAATCCATAATACCTAAAATAAAAGCACATACAAAAACTTAATAAGAAAAAAATTACAAAAATATTTGATTCAGTTTTTCAAAATAGTTTTTATTTTTGAGAATTTAAAATAAAAAAATTGTATAAAAATTTGTTTGGTTGGTAGTTTTTTATAACTATTTTTTAAAAACTCAAAAAAAAAAAAAAAAAAAAAAAGGTCAATTTTTAGAAGACTGTCTTTTGTAAAAATTGTAGTATATCTCCTCAATCTCCCAAAGTGGATGGTGATGGTTCAAGTCCTTATAGGCAGGGACGAAGCCACTGCAACTGCCCCCACTGATTTTTTTTTTTTTTTTACTACTATATACCACTAATTTTCTTATTTTCAATTATAAACCTATAAAATTTTCACTTTGCCCCTCTAAAATTACAAAAAGAATACACTAAATTCACTTTTGCACCCCCTCCCACAACTTCCTAGATCCATCCCTGCTCATAGGAGCACGAGTGCGTGAATTTCTTGTCAATAAATAATAAAAAAAGATGCAATTCTCTAGCATTGTATAGTATTTTTATTACTTGGAAAAAATATGTGGTAAATTAGATTCCCAGATATTCCTAGGGGGGAAGCATTTCAACACAATTATATCCTATATATAGATCCACACATACATATATATACGTACATACAGATATACATAGTGCACTCTTGCAGGTAAAATTAAACTGGTGTTGCAACAACAGTATTAGTGCTGTTATAGCAATCGAGAAAGGGAGGGATTGAGTTCACAGTATCAGTTCTTATCATTGATTAAACCTGCATCCATGCATGCATACATGTTTTCCATATATTCTAGAAGATGTCATTGTATTATAAACATAATTGATCATATTCGAGCCCTAATTCTTAATCTCTAGATCAATTGTTTTCATAGGATTTAAAATAATTTCAATTAAATCTCTAGATTCAGATATATAGTGAACCAGTCCAAGTGCAATCCCATAAATTGACCTACTTAGTAGCAAAATTAAAGAACTTCTGAATAGATAAAGATAACAAGAAAGAAAATAAATGAAAATGTTGCATCTATTACATTCACCAAGATGTTGAATGATAATACTACTTACCTTTTGCCCGGGGAAAAAAAAAAAAAAAAAGGTTGAATGAGGAAAATATGCAGCTGTTTTTATCAGTAACAACCAATTCACTGATATGCCAATTTTGACTTGTTTAATTCTTTTCTCCACTTATATCCAAGCATAAACTATTTGTTGAAGATTCAGGTCCTATACATATTAATCTAAATCCCGTCATCTTGTCACCACAAGTCTAAAACAAAACATGTAATTTTTCGAAAATGAAAATAACTCAATATGAAATGAAAAGTGAAAAAACAAAAATGAAAAACAACAAAAGTAATACATGGAAATAAAGAAATTTATGCTTTAAAATTTAACCAACTCACAAAATCTATGATCAAGGACAAAATCCCAAAGGCATTAAAAAATTTCAAAACATAATTTAAATGTTCAGAATTCTGGACATAGAATTAATAATTCTTCAGTCTGAAACAAACACCTACAAGAATAACTTCCACATTCATGACACAGCGAATCTTCATGTTGTTACAACATGGAAATAGATTACAGTAATCTTATAAATTGCTTTAGATTACAGTAATCTTATCAAATTGCTTGACCTTAGGGGAATAAAAATGGCCAGAAAAAGGCATATAGATGGCGAATTCAAGTGCCTCTTGAAAATAACTTAACGAGAGCCAACCACACAAACACAATATCACTGGAAGAATTAAGATTTACTTATATAACCTAATAGTAAGTAAGCAACAGCAAAATTAATCACTAACTTTTTAAGGACACTGAGGCAAAAATTATCAGCAAAAGGATCCTCTCTTCGGTTTCCCTAAAACCCCAACTCGAATCTTTGCAAGAAAACAAGCTGATAGTCCTAGTGTCATGAAAAATATTGAAATGACTACCATGCATTTTCTAATACACTTTAGACCTTCAGAACCAAACTAGTTAATGCATCTAAAGAAACCAAGAGAAACTGAAAATCTGTGTATATAAAGTACCTCTCTTGATTTCTCATCCTCTACTCTTAATTTATCTTTCACGGGCAGTATTTTGGCTTATTTTTATTTTCCAAATTTTTCTCATTTATAGTGCTTTTTCATATAAGTAATAAATCCTAACACTCTTTCAACTAACATAAAAAATAATAAAAAAATCCATCCAAACTTTTCCAATGAAGAAACTAAATCTTAACAAACATAATCTGTAAGTGGAATACTGTAGGACCAATAATTCAGCAAAAAAAAAAAAAAAGATTAGATGAACATTTGGCATATCATGCATGCAAGAGTTCATAATCAAGTTTAGGACTTGTATGATGTATACTTTTAGTCATATTTTCATACTTCACTATCTTCTTTTGAAGATGAGACTCATGAGAGAGTTTTAAATGGAACAACAACATTAATGCCATTTCTCAGTTTACATAAAATAAAATAAAATAAAATAAAAACTTTGAAATTAAGACAAGTGAAGATAATGCTGCCTTACAAATCACAATGTAGTATTATTTTGATCTAAACAGAATTAACTGATTCCTTTATTTCTATTACTGCACTTTCCAAACTTAAATGTGCAGTACTTTTATGTATTTACAAGCTCTCTTTTTCTAATAGTAACTTCTTTTTCAATTCGAAATTTTATTTGCTAAGTAACCATATGAGAACCCTAAGTCTTAAATTCCTTTAATGGTTTCATAGACACTCCGGTGAGATAGTGAAGAACACCAAGTCTTACCTAGACATGGATTCGAAGTCTGGCATTATTTAAACAAAGGCCAAAAGTCATAGTAAAATGCACATGAATACAATTATAAGATGCTGCCTCAATTGCATCCAATTTTGGATTATGTTGATCAAACTAAAACTCAATAGAAACAAATTTTTCTTGGAAGATATTGATATAAGTTCATCACCCTGATATCTTTCTTTTCATTATGAAAATAATTATAGAGAAAAACTTGAAGATCAAATATGTCTCATAAATGAATTGAGTAACAAGAAGATCAAATATGTCTCATAAATGAATTGAGCAACAAAAAAATTATCATGGCCGGGATCAGAAAGGGCATGATTCCTAGCTAACATATAGGAACATAATTAAATCCTAACAATGAAATGAGTTGAGGGTACATTTTAACTTAATCTGGGAACATGCTCATGTGAAAAGGCTGTTATACTAAATGAAACCATGAAAGGGAAGGGGTACAAAGTAGTTTGAGTACTGCAAAATTTTAGGACAGGAACTGACACACACACACACAAACACACACAAATGTTAGTATGTAATTATTGTAAATGCACTAGTGGTGGCTTGTATTCTATAATGTCTTTATAAAAATACAAAGATCTTGCTTGCTAATTACCCGACCATTAAAAAAATGAAAGAAAGAAAAACTACCACATAAACAAATAAAATTGTTATTCTAATTTAACTAGTATAAATTGTAGTGGATTATACTGAAAAATGTAATTAAGCCAATAACAAAGTTAATTGGCACAGGTGGTGGGTGAATGCTACCACAAACTTTGTCAAATTACGTCTAAGCTACCGAAATCAAATTCCTTCCATACAACGAAAGAAGAAATTTAAGTCTCAGAAAGCTTGAATACTATTAACATTAATTTTTATGGTTTTGTCATGATCATGTATATATTAAGGCCCTAAGTTATGTTACTAGCTAGACTATTCTGCTCTCTTAGTTTTCAAAAGCATGCACTGTAACTTATCACTTCAAGCGGCAAACACACATTTAAATGCATCATTTGTAGCAAACAAGTATAGTTACTACCATATATAAACATTTTGAAGGCTGAACACTCCAAGGTTTTAGACTCTTAGTGTACATTGTTCACACACACACAGTAGAAATTTTATTTTCAATCACAGAAGGGGCAGAACAAGGACATTGCTTGATGAAATAACTTTTGGGTGTGTAGCAGGTTCAGAAGAGGAAGGTGCATGGTTGGTGACATGAAAAATCAATTAATCAGCCAAAATTGAAAATAAAAAAATAAAAAATAATAATAATAATAATAATAATAATAATAATAAATAGAGTGTTAAAGAAGATAGGTATCAAGAATTGATGAAAAATGAAGAAAAAATAGTAAGATAGATGCTACCTTTTAAAAGCTCTGCAGGGATTCTGCTGCAATACCTGCGGGGCGTGCCCAACGAAGCAGCGACAAGAACAACAACCTACCAAAGGTAATAACAACACCACAACACTTCAATTCCTGTTAGTGGCTACCACACTGTACTTATCAGAACTAGTCAGGAAAGGTGGTTAGCCACAATTGTCACAGTACTAGAGAGAGAAACTTTTTACTCCACTAGTTTGGTCATTAGAACCAAAGTATTCAATAAAAATTTTAAAACGTGTTGCTCATCATCTATATATCCACTATATAGACTAAATGTTGAAAGGAATTAAACCATACCATGGATACATGATTGATCATCGATCTATATGTCATCATCATCATCATCATCATCATCAAGATTATATATATTATATATATATATATAACTATTATTACTATACACAAATCAAGTTAAAGATTGGAAAAGCCCCCTCTAAATCTTAACCATCTTGAACCAACTTATGTACTCTCCAAATTAAATTTCAACATCTCAATGTGGCCGGGTCTTCTTCCATATCCTCCCTGATGCTCTTTATGAGCTTTGTGCCCCCATTTTGTTCCTTCTCTTTCTCTATCTTCATCTCAATAATACCCATAAATTTAATGTTTCTTATCAGATGTCCAAATCCAAAGACATGGAGGACTTGCCTTTGTTGAGCAATTCAGTTGACGGCATCGTGGTTGTGGTCGGCACAGGAGTGCCATTGTAGAGCCTCAATTGGTGAGGATGCTGTGTTGCCATGGTAGGATATTGAGGTATGGTGGTGGTGGTGGCGGAGGACAATATGTCACACTCGTCCGAATCCGATATGGGACACTCCATGTTCACACCAAACAACCTCAGTCTCTTAGCTGCAGCTTTTCCATGGACCACCGGCACCGAATCGAACACCACAGGCTCACCGCCACCACCCCCTTGCAGCATTCCAGCCTGTTGTGGGGCCGCCGCTGCCGACCTGAGATAAATGACCGAACCCGTATTGGGATTCACCATGCTATTGTAACCATAACTGTTATCACCACCATAACCATATCTACACATTTGATGATTGTTATATGGGTGTTGAAAACGTGGGTATTCCCATGGTGGTGTTGATGGAACTGCTCGTGATTGCAACGATAGAGGATTGTGAATGGAATTGTAGGAGAAGAACTGGTGCGGAAATGACATATTGGGGAATGAACGGGGCATCTCCGGCGCATCGGGGCGGCGCCTCCAGTCGATGTAGAGGCGGTCTTTGCCGGAGTCGCCGATCCCACGATGGAACGAGACGATGTCTCCCGCGTCCAGCTTCTTCTCCTTCACAAACCGGCTCCACCCCTTGGTCATCACGTAGCTCTGGCTGCTGTTCCAGTACGAGTACCGGAACCGCCACGGCTTGCCGTTCCGATCCTCGAAATTCAAGAGGAGTCCCTTCTCGTTGGTTGATGAATCGAGTGGGAAATACTTTTCAGCGTGCTGTTTAGGGATGACCAGACGGTTGAGCTTGCCCACATCGCTGGGGGTCACGACCTTGTCGAACATGTGTTCTCTCTCCGCCGCAGCCACGCCGCCGCGGACACTGTCATCGTTAACACTGTCTGCATCATTACTGGTAACATCCTTGTTACGGATTGATTCTTCAATGAGTTCGAGATTTGGAGATGTGGTGGTGGTGTTGTAGCATCTGAGACTTGTCTCTTCTTGGGGATGATGATGCTCATACTTGTTGTTAAACCAGGTCTGTTGGTGTTGGTTTTGGTTTTGGTTTTGGTAGGTGAGAGGATGGAGAGTTTTGTGATGTGATGAAGAGGAAGAAGAGGAGTGAGAAAATGGAAGCTTACCTCTACTACTCATCTGCTCTTCTTCATAATACCCTTGTCTGTTCGCCATCAATTTCACCTCCTATATATGGATCTATGATGAAGATGATATATGACTAAAAAACAATTATCAAAGTGGGTATTGGGGGGTTATCCAAAGACTAATTTGTGTTACTTTTTTTTTTTTCTCTCTTTTTTTGGATTTCTAATCTACTAGGGTTAGAAATATTCCTCCAAAATTTTCAGAGACCAAGAAGAAACAAGAAGAGAGCACTAATCACAATGATGGTCGGTGCTTTCTTCTTTGACCAAGAAGACTCAAACTCGAAAGTACTGAACACCCCATGGACGATTCAAAGAGTGCCCAGTTATTCTTCTTCCTCTTCTTGTGGTTGTTGACCTTGGAGAGGGGGTAGAGAGAGAGAGAGATTATATGTGGTAATTGTCTTAGTGGGTGCCTCTCCTCACTGGAAGCTTCTCAAGTTAGGCAATTTTGCTTGAATAAATTCCAACTTCTAGAGAGAGAGAGAGAGAGACTTTATAGGTAGGGAAGGAGGGGGTGTGGGGGACCCATGAATGATCTGGTTGGGCTCATGTGAGCTTGTCCTTGTCATCGTCCTGGACCTGGACGGTATATATATATATATATATATATATATATAAGACCCAAAAGGCCAGCTGTTTTTGAGAATATGAGCTTCTAATTCTAATTCTATATTTGGGCAACTTGGATGTAGAATATTATCATAATTATATATGCCCATTAGTTTCTAAATTTCAACATTAATTAAAGTACCATATGCTTATAAATTAGAGAATGAGTTCATATAATATGCATACAATACATGTAATTTCTTGAACTAGATATAGAGTATTTGTCTTGCTGTCACATAATTAGTACGGACCACTTTAGTATATGGGTTGGAAATTCAGGTGATCTAGTGACCACCGCACATAATTGGTCCATCCAATAAGATTATTGCTATGCATGCGTCCAAAGTATATATATAAGCACTTTATATCTTTTCTTTTATTCATTATTTGATGCATGTTTTTAAAAAAAAATAATTGAAGAGACAATTCTCTTATTGAATAAGATTGATAAAGTGTTACAAGGAAAAAGAAAAAGCAAATATATTTGAAATGATTCATGTGATTCGTAGAGGCTTGATTTTTTTTGGCTGGAGTCTATCTTATTGGTAATCTAGGACCACTTGGACAGTTTTCAGGCCATGTTGATGTTGTGATGGCCCATTCGATGGAAAAGTTTACAGGGTAGAGGTGGCCAAGTTTGACACTGCAATTCTTCTAGTTGGAAAGCATGCCCACATATATATGTAATGAATCCTCATATTGTAGCATTATACACACACACACACACACAAACACACACACATACATATTATGTATCATTGACAAGTATTAAGTCAGGTTTCACTTGATCTCTACGGATGAAATATCCATCACTTTTATATTTACTTTCATAATTGTTATGAAGTGACAATTATTTCTGCTTGTCTATATTTTGCATCTCACTTTAAATTTGCTTTTGTGTATACACACACACACACACATTACACATACCCACATGCGTCAATGTTGACACCCGACATGTGCCTCATAGGAGTATAATTAGTTCAAACATGCCCTTGTCCATCTAGTGATCATATAAACCACTATTGTCATTCTATGAGATGGCCCCATGTACAAAGACGAGCCAAATTTGGTAGACTAATATAATATAAAATCATGTCTTAAAAATTGATTGAAATAATTGAAAATTTAGAAGTCTGATGATGTGTGTGCGTGAACCAAAAGACAAGTCTTTGATTATAACCAGTCATTAAAATGACTCCCAGATTTACTTGAATGTTGACTAATTAAACAAACTACCACTTGTCCTAAAATGCTAACTTGTGATGCGGTATGCTTTTCGGCTACAGAAAAATATATGTGCCAAAATTTCTACACATTATATCATAGCCCATGTTTGGTTCGTAGATTCTGCGAACCATCATCACCTACCATTATTGTCAATTTTGGAATTGGTTATCCTATAGTCTAATTCATTTAATTTTTTCGACAATATGAATATGTGAGATATATATTTTATAATTGACTGATTAAGCTGTATTTTTAAATTCAAAATTTAATATCGAGATCGGCTGCGGAATTGAAGAGATATTCATGTTTGATAGATTGAGGTATACGAAAAGAGTATGAATAACATTTTCGGAAGTGGAGTTAGAAGATTATGACACTTTCATACATCGTATGTTTATGAAAATTTTTAAAACAGAAATTTTTCTAAGTGTTTAATCTTTCTGTTCAAGTCTGGCCAATTTGAACCGTTTCATGCAGTGGAACCAGTTTAAGATACATACTTTGAATTCCTTAATTCACTGGCCAATTTGAACCGGTTCAAGGATTGGTTCAAGCTCTTTTGCAGTTTTAGGTAACTTAGTTTCCCATTTTGTTTAAACTTCCTAATTGATATAGATTTTTTTTAAAAAAGACTTAACTCTTTTTTAAGCATACCTAGATTTTTGATAGATTTTTGAAAGTCTATTTAAACATATTTTCACATCTATGTTTTGTGTGTCTTTTTGCATTAAAATTTATTTTTTTAAAGTCTTTGAAAGATATTTTGCAAAAAATCAAATGTGATTTTTTTATTTTTATTTTGAACACATATAAGAGTGTTGTTCCTTCTATAGAGATTAAGAGTAAGTCTGAAGTCAAGAGCTATTGGACGAGACGTCGCGAAGTCAAAGATTGTTAGCGATTGGTTTTTTTGGTAGAACGATTGGTTTTTTTTGGGTAGAACGATAGGTTATGAGCCTGAGTTAAAGTCTATTGTATTTTGTTTTAAATATAATGGATCGCTCTAGATTACACAGTACACGAGATTTTTTTCACACCAATTGGTCTATTCTGCCAATTAGGTTTTCTAACTAAAAGTTCTGGTGTCATCTCGCAAACTTTATTTGTTTTACCTGCACTTTATATTGCATATGATTGTTCAATTATTTACTAATTAAAGAAAAACTAATTGAATAAATAGATATATGATTAAATTATCTCTAGATAAAAATTTAAACTTTCTACAACATATTTCGTTACATCTTCTCTAGATAAAAATCTAAATTTTCCACAACTTATTTCACTTCGTTCAACGGTCTTAAATCATCTCATAATTCAGTACCAACTAATATTTGAAATTGCCAAGGATTAAATTTTAGTATATGGTTAGGAGGTTAGGGTAGTATTGGGCCCACAGGAAAATGGGTGGAGCTATACGTACCCTACTATACTGCAAAGGCTATACGGCAATCACCTATATATCCATATATCAGAGGGGGTTTAGATAAAAGGCAACCCTAGCTCAAAAGGACAGCGTCACAAAGTGCATGTCTTTCCTAGATACCATTAACACACCATGGCCTGACACTGTTCCATTGAAATAATTATCAACTTCTTGTGGAAAGAAAATGGTGATCCATGCTGGTAAAATTTAAAGGTAGAGCTATGTACTATTTTTTTACTGTTCGAATAACTGTGGAGGTTGGACTTTCCTCCACTGTCACGTTACTTTCACATTTTCTGAATTCATGGTGATTGTTATTTTTACAAATTATATACAAAAAATAATACGTAGTATTTAAATAAACTTTGTAATCATGGTATCTGTCAAATAAATTTTGTTGTTTACTAATTAATTTAGTTATATAAAAGGGTAAACTCACTGCACTGAGACTCTTATTATTAGAGCATTTGAGAAGGATTAGATTTATGTAACTCTACCTTTCGCATGTGAAGAGATTATTTTCTTATTTAATTAATTTGGATATATCAGACGAGTTCCAGATACCCATTATAAAGTCCTCAGGTGTGAGGCTGATTCACAAACTCTAAAAAATAATAATAATAATAATAATAATAATAATAATAATATCCAGTACAAAAAACTATTGTGGGTCATTTTGTTTTGGTAGGTAGTAGGTACGTCATGAGTTTAAAAATGGAAGTATAATATAATGAAGTTCACGAGCCTACTCTCAAGTGCTAACAAAACCACTAACAGCTGTAGAAGAAATTAAGAATGAAGGTAACACAAGACAACGGAAACTAAAATAATATGCTTGTATCTGTTGCCAAACGCACCAAAAGGGAAGAACGTTGTAGGTCAATCTCAGCTTATCACAGTAGATAAATTTAGTATATTAAAAGAATATTTCCATTAAATTTTAATTTTGTTAGATGAAATCAAATGATAAGAAAAGTTCATCGAATTGTGTTTAATTTTATATGTAATTAGTAATTACAAAGAGCTCAGTATCTTGATTTGGATGGAGACTTGCCAAGTTAATTTCTGAACCGATCGATATATGAAATAAGTAACATGGCTCGGATTCAATGCTCTACCTATATATATATATGTCTCTTGATTCGTCCAATCATATCAGGTTAAACTTAATTTGGGATTCATTTCAGGTCATTTGAAGTAGAAAAATGATAAATATTTTTAATGAACACATATTGAAATGTGAGCCATATATAATTGGTTTAAAGTAGAGTTAACAAGGGGAGTGATTTATTGAGAATTTACTCCTCATGTGCTAGCTTCCACTTGTTATCTGATGAACATTTTTGTCCACAAAAACAAATGCCATATTTGCATAATCTGAGATCAATTATATATATATGTGTGTGTGTGTGTTGAGGTCGAAATTTGAAATATTAAGAACTAGTTATGGTATACTGATTACCCTAGCTAGAAGGAAGCAGCAGTAGCCAGTAGGTGGAACTGGGAAATTCTGATATTTCCAGATGAAGTCGGTTAAAAGGGATGAGAGGAGATCGAGATATATAGATATAGATATATTTTATTACTGGTATATATAGAATGTATTTATGATGGCATGTGTTCAATCATTTTCTCAGGACGGAGGAGAGGAGAATAGGGCGGGTTGATGAAATTGACAACCTGGAGGGAGCATCTGTTTTGTAGTAGGGATGGTGGGGGCTATTGATAGCCACCCAATTGATGAACCTTACCTACTCAGGTTCCATGATTAGCCACTCCCTCTCCTTTTGCATGATTTACATGTGAGACTACTATTCCCTTAAGGTGCGCTTGACTTTTAACCCTAATTTCTTAATTAAATTAATAAATTTATAATAGTAGATTTATTTTGATAATTGCTCATTGCATGTAAGATAACGGGGTGACTATATGTGTTAATGGTGAATTTTAGAGTGTTTTAAGAGATCTGACATTATAATTGTCAACCAAAAAATATTAAAACTAAGTTCAAACCTACACAAAGCCATGTGCTTAAATTAGATTGGATTGCGACTCACACTTGTTACAATTTAATATGTATTAATTATTTGATCCAATTAAGATTAAGGGCCTGAATTCAAGTGAGTGAACCCTCATAATTTAAGACATTAAATAGCAAGATCATGAGTCAATTAAATGATTGGAACTTAACAGC